TATCATATGATCTTACACAAGCGATATCTCCTGTGGAACACAGTTTTGGATGATAAAATAATATATAGCAATATAACTCATAACTTCAGTAGGAAGAATAATGATAACGAAAAATATATGAATTGTTACATGATAAATAAGGACCTTTTCCACAAATATAATCTTTAAAATAAACAATAAATGAAATATGTACTTTTTTTTCAAACGATTAGGTGAATGAGACTTTTGTAGAATGATTTAAATATATATTCGCGTTATATTAACGAACAAAATGAATGATATGTCGTCTGCTACATGATAATTGAAATGTTCAGTATACGACGCTAATATGGGTTTACGCCAAAAATCATAAAAAATAAAATACCGATCGTAGCCATATAAAAAGTGTACCACGCAAAAGAGGAAATCGACGTGAATGTTCACATGTTTATTTCAAACATACTAGTAATAAGCTGTTCTTGTGAAAGCGTGCGAAAATCAAGTGTTGTTGAGTAAATTTTTCGGAAAACATCATATTTCGTCGCATTGCACGAGCCAAAATAAGGAATGACACGACCGCCACAGACTTAATAATGCCCCTATACCAATCTTTATCTTATTTTCTTTCATTACACCCCGGTAACTAAGGATTTGTATTGAGAATTAGTATCCGTTATTGAAAATCAAAATTGGGACTTTCGCCGATTTTACACCTCTGCCATTGTTCTCACAGAACGACGAGCACACATGCCAGTATTCATCAAATACAAAGACAAATATATGCTTTAGCACCCCTAATACATCGCTAATGCACTGTTGCAAATTTAAGTATATGCATGAGAATACATAAAAAATCAAATCTTACCTTTGCAATGAAAATACGCGAAATCGATGACTGAAGTCAACACGCGTTTTTGTCAGCTTCCGGATAGGCTGCGCAGTACAAGCCGTAGCGCTGATGGTTTTGCGCACTGGCTAGAGGGCCGTCCCTCTATTATATGGTCTCTGGTTTAACGTCGTGCTTGAGAATATTTCGCTCATATGACGACGTGCATGCGTGTGCATGTGTATGTGCGGCTGCTTGTACTAGCCCAGACTGAATCTGGTTTTATAGTGCTAGCCCACTGAGATACCATGCCGCAGTGAAGCATGAATACCCCACTCAGACACATTATACTGACTCCGAGCCGACCAGTCCTTGTTGTACCCATTAAATTAATAATGCCGAGCGCCAGGCAGGGACCAACAAGTACTATATTTTAACGTCTTTTGGTTTTGGATCGAACCCGCTGAGTGTGACATAATACAACAATGATATATTATCCGCCTACCTGCCTTTGTTAATTTAGGGCGGTGGGTATACGTAATCTAGTGGTTAAAGCGTTTACTCGTCACGCCGCAGACTCGGGTTCGACTCCCCACATGGGTACAATATGTGAAGCCCATTTCTAGTGTTCCCCGTCGTGATATTGCTGGAATACTGCTAAAAGCGGTGTACAACTAATCTCACTCACTCACATAAAACAAGAAGACAAACCCATCCGCTCTGTTTCTGGTTAAGTGGAAAATAGTGTCTCCAGTGTTGTCATTTTATCATCACATAATTCATTTCGCTCGATTTTAAAAATATGCAGTTACTCCCAAAATTCGAATATGTGCATATCAACATCTCGATATATGACGTATTACTACCCAGATTTTATACTCATATAACACCCAACGTTTTCAAATCAGAACGTCGTAATCGACATGAATGCTGAGTATATAACAAAATAAATTAATTGGTTCTGTTAGGTTCTTCCTGCACACTGTGATGGCTACAACCACAGGAACATTGCTGAAAATAATAATAGCCAGAGTCTAACCAAAAAGGTCTTGTTAGACAACATTGCACTATGGCTAGGTGAGAGATGCGATCCAGGTAATAAGCATTTGTCACTGAAGCAAAAGAAACATTTCACATAAATTAATATTTATGAACATGCTGACATTTTCAGCCAATAATTTTCATAATTAATACTTGTGTCAAGTTATATACAATACATTCAGAGATGCAAACAGTGAGATGCAGCATCGGTATACTGTTCCATGGTTGTCTGATCGGTGATAAAGTTCATCTTCACATGTTGAGTCTCGTCTCAAATCCCACTCTGGCTATGTGAGAGACATGTTTTGACAGAATCTGGCTAAGTGAGAGGACACCATTAAGAAACGTACGATTTAATCGTGTAATGTGCCCCTTTCTGTTTAAGCGCAGTTTTCAGTAGACCCAGTACACCAAAACAAGCAATAAACTCTCAAACATTAACAGATCTTAAACAAGGGACAAAACTACTTATCCGAGTTATAACTGCATTAGTAAAAAAAATAATTTTAAATGTCAACATGTAAATGAAACAATATTCGACTTATGTCACCATAATCGAAGTCGACATTACCGCTTTGGTCGTTATAACGAGGGAAGGGACTAGCCTGTGTCAAGTCACATGTAGTTCTGGCCTCGATTTCTCGAAACAAATATAAGTCTGAGTTTTGACTTAAGTTATAGTTTCTAATCAAATTTGAATTGAGAATTTGAAATCGATATTAAACTCAAACAAAGTAGACAATTTGAGTTTGGTAGATAGGATACTTAAGTTGTTTGGGCTTTTTTATTTTAATAAATGCAGTTGAGTTAAACATTCAGCTGTTTCAAATTGTCAAACTCAGTTTGAAATTTGAGTAAAAACTTCAGCATAGTTTTGAAGATGTGGTCTGACTCGGTGAAGCAGGGGAGTTTACTGTTGTTTACCTTCCCACGGGCGTTGTAAAGGAGACTCTCACCAAGAATATGTGAAGGTTTCACACAAGATTTAGTGAATGCCAGTTAATTGCAACAAGTAAACAACCTCAAACCACAGCCGGTTACCAATAGAGCAAACTGCCTGGAGAAATTGTATCATTCAAACAGACTTGTTATATTATCATTAATAAATTGTAGAGGAAAGCCCCAAGCGATGCCCGTCTTTGTACACCACTTTGATTAAACCCAGAATAAACTGGGACTCGAATCCACGATCGTAAGTTTTTGCAAGCTAAAGGGAAACAACTCTGCAATGTGCTGCCTCAGACCCATGGTCTCAAATGCGAAATGCAACATTACACTGAAATTAGAGCTGAGAACGGTCCAAATGTTCTACCCGGGTACCGCACCCCTATTACCCTACCCTGATACCCGTTATGTTATTTCCTGGTATCAAATCTGTAAGAAATGGCAATATAATCTTCAGTTCAGATCATGACAGATGCTATTATTTCGAGTTTTTCAATATCTTAAACATGTATATCTAGTATATTCAAAACATGTAATACAGTATGTCTAAATCTTCAAAGACAATACAACCTGTTAATCATGAAAGAATGTCATATTACATTGTTTAATCTCCAGGTACATGATCATAACGGGTTCTGGTATTGAGAAGGAGTCCAATTCATTACCCACCCGTCACGGGTATCCGGGTTACCCATCCCCGCCCTAATTGAAATAGGTAATTGCTACTTAATTCAGCAACCACGAGTTCACATAGACCTCAAGGTACCAATTTCCAACAGCCTGCGATAACATTTGATAGCGATAATGGCAGTGTGCGAAATAGTTTCCAGATTTTGCTAGCTAGTCGGACTAGTTATGGCTGGAAGTTTCCAGCCTACAAAAAAATTCAACAGCCCGAAATTGTCGGCAAGACACGGGTTTCATCATTAGATGCTAATATGATTAACATGTTTTTATCAGGTCATAATCTTGCATGATTTAAAAGCGTATTAAGTCGAAGAGAGTGCTATATTTACAAAATGACCCCATGAAAATTCACTAGCCAGTCGGGCTGTGAATATGGAGATTTACTAGCCCGACTGTATTTTTACTAGCCACGGGCTTGCGGGCCAGTGGCTATTTCGCACACTGAATACTGGGAACAAAACCCGTTTTTAGTGTGACAAGCAAATGGTTAACCACTAAGCGACCCTACCACCTCTGACAGTAAAGTATTAGTACATGTGTATGGTTTACTTGTGTGTACATGTACAATGGAGACTGTGGTGATAGGATGTGGTGTCCATCTCAGACCCTCATGGCGACTTATCCCATCAAAAGGCTGCCCTGAACAGGGGCAGTAGAGGTGAAATGGGGTATATCTTGATCCAAGAACATTGCATTCATAGGTGTCATGCACTCATGTATTACTCCGCATAGACACAGTACATGTCTTATCCTTTTACTGCTGAGTACCATGCCTTTTATCAGAGTGAGTTTATTTTTATGCCGCTTTTAACAATATTACAGCAGATATGGGTTTCACACACTGTACCCATGTTGGGAATAGAACCCGGGTCTTTGGCATGTTGAGCGAACGCTTTAACCACCAGGCTACTCCATTGTACCCCCTTTATGAGACCTTCTTTAGGTATTAAAGATCAAGGAATCCCACCCCAAACCTTCCCTTTACAGAGGCTAGTATATCAACTGGGCCACAGTCTGTAACACAATTAATTCTTACTTACAAACATGTCAACAGGGAGAACACACATAAAACTAATGGTTGTTTGGTATCAAGTGGCAAGGAATCAAACTCTTACCCTTTTCTACAGGCAACCGCTATAACCACTGGACCACAGAAGTCAGTAACAGATTTAATTCTTGCACACACGTTCTGTTTATTGCAAGACCACAAATAAATCCAAAGTTCTATTCCCTTTACTGTTCAGGAATCCCATCGAGTCCAATATTGCTAAATGTGCTGTCAGTGGCGGATCGGGGGGTTGGGGGTGGTCAGGGGGTTCGAACTACAACACCACCACCCCACCCCACCCCTGAAAGTGACTTAAGACCACATTGAAAATTTTTGGGGGGCGTTGGCAGAGCCAAAGGGGGTTTTAACCCCCTGAACACACACCCCCCCACCCCCTTCAAAATTCCTGGATCCGCCCATGGCTGTCATGTCATTCTGCTCACACAACCATTTCACAATCCAACAAACACGTCATTAACACAATAAAACATTTATTCAGTACCAGATCACTGAGTGTAGATCACACATATTTGTCCAGCTAGCACATCTGTCATTTGTATAGTCATTTGGTAACATGTGACTAAGAATAGTCTTTGCAACAAGTCTACATTTATCAGAAGTCTGAATACATGAACCTCGGGTACCATGGTTACACAAAACTGAATGAATTTAGAAAATGCTTATATCTCTCTGACAGTAACTGTCCAACAATATTTCATATTCATCCTTATTAAAGCATATTCCACATTAAAGTTTTGTACTTTGGGTACATGTTAAATGAAATACTAAAGAGACATAATAAAATCAACATAAATAAAATGAAACAATTTCAAAGATCTGTACAATTGACACAATATTGAAGAGTATATAACAAATGCTTTCTTCAGCCATTAGCTAAATATATAAATTAGGCATAAAAGTAGTCTCATATTTGCACTCCTTGGTTAAAATATATTTGGTAAAAATCGGATCAAATAATGTAAATTTCTTTTTAAGCATCACTGACATTTCCAAATATCCGATGTATGTTTGATTTCATAGCTGACACAGCATTGACAAATTATTGATTTGCTTGTGGGAAATAATATCACAATTGAGCTGTCTACAGCTTCTGCTGGAACAGCCATTCTCCTAGACCAGCTGTGAACTTAGAAAACATGGCAGGCTGGCTATCAGTTGGCGGTGTTGTAAGAAGCCATGTATCTATTTTCTCTTTTTCATCACCATTATCCTTATCTTCATTATCGGATTTCATTAACCAATCAGATTGTGACTTTTTATTGACGTAACTGTGTACAGCATCCCACACTGGACATGGGTCAACTGGAGTGGTCGACAGCGCTGGCTGGGTACCCGTCACCTTCAACCACATGTTACGGTCTTCTTTTCCATGTTTGAACTCAAAATTCAAACCGGTAATTGATGGAGAGTTCTTGTTACGGCCTGGTTGTTTTTCTTTAAGCCAATCATCAGGGTTGGACGAGATGCAGTCAAACATGGGAAACCTCTCTTCTGGATTCTCCTCAAGCTCACCTCCACTGCCCTTCAACCACTGCTCTTTCTCTGTGTCCAAGGATTTCAGGTACCGGGCGAACCCTTCGATCTGAGGCAGGGGAGATAACTTGGGCTTGCTACTGGCAACCTTCAGCCACTTCTTGGGAGACGAGTCAAATCTTGTAAAGTTGAAAGCACAGTTGGGTTGGCATAAACATTCGCTGAAGGAACCACAGGGCTCGTTAGCCTTGCACACGGTAGACGGGACCGACTGATCTTCGTTGCCCGATTTCTTCAACCACTGCAGGGTGTCCTTGGATACATCTCGGAAGTAGCGTTCGAACACCGACTGGCTGCTGCAAGGCATGTTTCCAAGGTTCTCGATCTCCATGGACTTGGTGGAACAAAGACAATCGCTGCACGTGTCTGACTCCTGAAACACAGCAATAAGCAAGGATGTTTGAAGTCAGCTTTTAGCATTATTCCATCTGTATCATAAAGGACCCAAATAACTGACATCACATAATCTACAGAGCCAAGGTGATGGTGAGAAGATTCTTTAACATCAAGCTACCCAATCCAATTGTGGGTGTTCTCTCACTGTTAATAGTAGTTGATAATGTCTACAATAAACAATATTAAATAACACAGTTGATTTCAGACAGTTCTGTCATCAAATCCCTCTGGGTCTCTTTACTAAATTATCTTTCCTGAAAAATCCCGAAATTACAAACAGTGTACATTATGATCTTCAGGTCAGGGCATAATAGTGTTGTTATTGTGGGAATTTTTACTTAAAGGTTTGGATGACACTACTATTTCCAGACTCTTCCAAGCTCACTAAGAAAATGTCATGACACCATACTGTCTGCCAAGACCACCCACCTTCTTCGCATCGCTGATAAGCCAGCGGTCTGGGTCGGAAGGGATATGCCGGAAAAGGTCCAGTACCTCCTTCTCCAGCATCTTCTCACCCCCCAAGGAGCTGGATTTGAGCCACGCCTCCACAGGGCTGGGGAGGGTCAGCTTCTGCTGTGGGTTGAACGTGGGTGCTTTCTCCAATACAGGGAAGGTGGTCATCACAGAATTGCTGGACTTGGAGCTGCCTGCTGCAAGAACAACCATGCCATAATGTCAGGTATTATCTGCATATATTTGGAATATTAGTCCGAGGATCTGCCCTATATTCGGTACAACTTCACGCAAGTATGAACGGATCACCACCTTAGTTTACTGGTTACTACATAAAGGCTTTTCTTTGCAATCTCTGAACTGTTAGACCATAAACAGAGACTTAAAGTACAGATGACTTGATCAATGAGCAGTGTCAGTGATGAAGGAACTTGGTGGAAACATGACATATCACAGGTATAAAATTACATCGAGCAAATACACGCACTAAAAAGCTCTCACATTGTTTGTCAATCTCCAAACAAAACTTTCCTTTTGTCTACAACACAATAGAGGCCAAGCTTACCGTCTCTGTCAATGATCTCAAAGTCTTCGTCCTCCAAGTCAGTGAACTGCTTGATCTGCGAGAGCCAGTTCTGGATGCTTGCATCACCAGACAGCTCACCACGGGTGTCCTGGGCAACAGAGGACGTCTCGCTACGTCGGAGCCAGTCAGACGTGTTGGGGCTGAGGGATGGAAAGGAGAACCTCGGCGCGGACGTGGATGATGTGGTCACCGTGGAGGGACGACAAAGCCAGTCCTCTGGACGCTTCGACAACTTGGGGATGTTGACGCTTATCTGGCAACAAGAAACACAGGAATGTAAAGTATAGACAAACGAAAAATATTAATTTTACATGATTATCAAATGATTATAGTACACATGAAAGTGTGAATGACCAAAGTGCACATAGCTCTCAGTCACATGGCAAGGTAATATAGCTGCTTCAACATCTTAATGACACACATTAACAGTAATCAGGAGATGACCTATCCCCTGCACTGGTGCAGTTTACACAGCGTTGCACCACTAAACCCCACTTTCCATTCAATGCCAGTGGATACCTTCAGTTAAGCAAAGAACAAATAATGTTGTTAAGTTTTCTTCAACATCCTAATTCATTGACTGATTTGCATAGCAGCTTTCAAGAAGAAATATTAAGCAAGCAGCCCAGCTCTGGATATTGGAAGGCAGACAGCACAAGCCGATCATGATATTTTTCAACCAGGAGATAACAACATACCACATGATTTATATAAGTCCCTTGAAATAAGTCCTGTTTTCTTCCAAACACCCTCCATGTTAAAACTTACATTGCTGCTGGCAGTCCTGGCACGATTGACCTCCTCCACAGTCTTGTAGAAGACATGGTGGTCAGCGTCCTCGTACTCCTCAAAGTGGCGAGGCAGGCAGGTGGAAGGGTGTCCATGAGCAACAAAGGCACTCTGTAGAGGGAAGCCTGACGCATCCACACGGCCGTAGTTGAGGATTGTTTCTCGCAGAGTTGACTGGTCGGCCCGGAAGGTGATGTAGGGGCTCTCCTCTGGCTTCAGGTCAGAGATATCAAGTCTGCAATAACAAAGTCATTTTGTTGCTAAACAGAACGAACACGAAATCAATACTCAAAGTATGTAATTTTTTAGTAAAATTGATATTTCATACTTATCTCTCTCTTCTATGCGAATGTTAGTGGAACACTTGAATCCTTTGTAGTTCCCTAAAGCGGACGTAAAAGTACACTCACCCACGAGTTACCTCCCTTTTCCCATGCAAACAGTCATGTGACCAGCCTTACTTGTCACACAAGTTACACAAGTAAGAAGCCTGGCTTGACCATAGATCAAAACCAAACAGGAAGAATAAGAACTTCTCAATTCTCAAATAAATCTTTGCTCTGTATGTTCCAACATATTGTGGGTAGCCTAGTGGTTAAAGCATTCACTCGTCACCCCAAAGACACAGGTTCAATCCCCACATGGGTACAATGTGTGAAGCCCATTTCTGCTGTCCCCTGCCATAATGTTGCTGGAATATTGCTAAAAAGGGTGCAAAACTATGCTCACTCACTCCAATATATTGTAAACATGTTCTACATATCCAGTTCCTTAAGTCTAAATCATAAAGATCATATAGCCTCATGCCATTATGGTTTCAGAGGTAAAGTATGAATGCTCCTTTTAAAATGCCATCGACCAGAAACATCAGCATCTGGGCATTAAAAGCAAACTGTGAAAATGTCACTCACTTTTCCAGGGTCTCAATCAGTCTACTGTCAAGCCCGTCATCCTCGTCTGCCAGACCAAGAGAACTCTGCAGGACTCCCAGGGCCTTGTTCAGCCGGACCTGTTGTTGGTGAAGGACCTCCTCCTTGGTGTTCACCACCAGGTCGACCTGGCTCAGCAGCCACACCTCCCTGTTCCGCAGGGCCTCCAGGTGCCGGCTAACAGATGTGTGGATCTGGGATTTGATCTGGAGGACAAGACAAGACTTGGCTACTTACAGCAATCAATTATAAACTTACATCACAAAACCAAAACTTATTTTTTTCTATATCCAATATCACTCTTTCACTTGAAAGTTCACCACATGTTCAACCACACAATAGCTCGGGACAACACTACAGTTGATTCTATCATATAGTTGCTACTGACTTTTAACTGGAGAATTGATATTGACACTCTTTGTCAAAAATGATGAATACAACAAATGTGGTTTTGTCATAAAATGCTAAGAAATAAAATATAACTCTGGACACCAGACAACCATATGAACCGCAGTGAACTCTTTAAAGTACACTTCTCTAAATTGACAAAATGCCTAACAAAATAATGTCTATATTAGAAGATTACCTATAAATGACATTTTAGCTGTAGTATGAAAGACAGACTTGTATTCCTTCAAGACGTTTTTTAAGCACTGCTGGCTGCCACCTTTGTGAAGAAATTTAATTCCTATGCATTTGATCCTCATTATCAGGAAGTAAGATATTTGGATACTTTTTTCTTGATACCCCAACTGACTGTTTAATCAATTGATGTGTAAATAAGTAGGGGCTAAATCAGTGCTGCAACACAAAGATGACAATACTGATTAACAAACTGCAGCATATTAATAAAGGAACCAATATGAAACATGCTTGAGGAGCAAGTATCAAACAGTCTGATTTTTCTTACCTCGCCAGCATTGTAACTGAGGTGTTTGATGATAGAATTCACATGCTTAATAGCTGATTCCAGCTGCTCAATCTTTTCCTGTGTCTTCTCTGTCATCATGGCAGCAGTCAACACTAGGTATGCGTGATCTGTCAACACAATTCAAATGTTTAGTGAGCATAACCGACAGTTCCCCTATTACCAATACCATTGTTACACATATGAAGTTGTGAAGTTTGATGTAAAACATGTTTAATGCTTCACTCAGCAGACTAATGTTTAGTCTCTGAATGTATATAATTTTGATTGTAACAAATAAACTCATCTAAATTGAAAAGGAGCCCCACAGAGACCCGAGATTCCTGAACCTAGGGAAATCTAGACTTGCTTCATTTAGGGCTTTAGCATTGCAGGGAGGACAAGGCTGTAGGGAAAATAATATGGTTCAGGGACTGGGAGACAGACTACTGACAATGCAGTCATTAATATTGTTAGAAACAAATCAAGCCATCTGGACAGTATGACAAGCAATAATTGAGTCAAAAATCAAACCACTCAATCCATTTGGTTGCTTTCAAGGATCAGTTTCCATGGAAGAAGATATAAAGTGAGTGAGTGGGTTTGCTTGAATGTTGCTTTGAACAGTACTCAGGTTATATCACAGATTATCACCTTAATCTGCGATGAAAGCCCGAAGAGATTCATGTTTTAGACATTTTCCAGCTTGGTGGAACCCACAAGCAAGTGTATGGTGCTGCTAAACTGGGGAACATAATCAGGGTGAACTAGAATTCAAAACAACTAACAGATTTTCAGCTTGCCCAAGGGATACAACTCTGCACGGCCAATTGATACACCTGAGACAATAATGCCACCCTTGCCCTATCAAGTAATCAAGAGGAATTACAAGACTTGCCTGAAGGGAAACAGTAGGATACATGGTATAAGACAATTTGGACTGGGTACAAGATGTTTGAAAGTGTTAAGTAATCAATATCCTGGACCAGGATAACTAGAAATAAACCACCAGCACTCTACACCACCAGTAAGTCAGACAATCACTCAAGTCATGAAACATGATTACCATCTCTATTACATTAGCTGGGATCAAGTGAAAAAAATGTCAAATGAGGCACAGAGACATTAGTTAAAAGGGCCACAAACCCCAGCTCTACCTTTTTCATTAATCCAAAGGATTTACAATAAACTTTGATCCAAAGTGAAACCTCTTGATAAAGATACAGTGCTGATCAACCTTTGATCAATAGGAACACATTTGTGTTGGTGTTCCTACAAAAGTACAATTGCGCAAGTAACAAAGAAACTATTGAAAATGATGCTAAGAGCCTGGACACTTGGTGTGTTCATAACACTTCTGTCCTCAGAAACGTGTTTAGCTAATATCATGAAATGGACTTTCGTTTTCTCTACTGCACAACGGTTTGACAGCCATATCCACAACATATATATTTATGAAGATATTCACTACAATAACCATAGCCTTGGCACCCGCACAGTGATAAGATAATATAACACACGGCATATTTGCACTTTGAAGGGTGTGAATCAGGACTGGTATCATGGTTATGGGTGTTATGATGTGACAGACATCCGGGTACCTTAGAGCGGAACAACGTTATCACATATGACGAAATGTACCCCACCCCGTGATATTATATTTAATATTTTCATATCCGGATCGGGATCACTTGACCGAGAATAATTTATGATAATCACTCCTGGCTGACAATTAAGTCAATTACACTGTCATCTACTTGAAATTGTAAGGGTTCTCAACAACTGGAAATCGAAATAGGTAAAGAAAAGATTTGAAGTTAGAAACAACACAAGCACAATGAATTTATCTTTCCAAGGTCAAGGCCGATCACCATTTCAGGATCACGATTTGCACGTAGAGCTACGACAAAGCAATCGTATGTGAAACCGCCATGAGTTGTTTGTTACTCTTCTCCAATACATAGGTATCAATATGTATTAAGAAAGTGACTGAAACTTAGACTATATTCACAGAGGTGATTATCCTGTGAGATCACGTTTCTATATGACACGTGAAGGTATACCATACAAATGGTGAATGCACCGGCAATGTCGGCCGTTTTCAGTGTTATATAAAACCATACATATCCAAATCAAACAAGATTATACTTAAAACTATTTAACAATATATGATGTAGCATTTGATCGATAGCGAAACGTACATGAAACACTCACCAATGATTCGTGTCTAACTCTCTACAATGTCATGTAATCCTCATTGTAAATACAGCCGAGCATTCGTTATAAATAGACCCCGATTGGGTCTGCCCCAGATTTAGCCAATCAAATCGTTTGTGAGAAACGCGCACTTGTCAATTTATGTAAAGTTAAGTCTCATTGGACAGTGCGATATCAGCAAGGACATTCCTTCGACCAAAGTTTGACACTTGCACAAGATAGATGAAACGGGTTTCAATATAAAAGGTAAAATATTCACAGCACATATACATATGAATGATAAAAATATATATCGTATGAGCTTGAATAACAAAATCGCAACCCTGCCATTTTCACAGACCTCTGTAATTGTGATTATTCATATCAGGTGCACGAAGCACACGTATGGACATATACATTGAGTCAAACGTGTAGCCGTGATATTACATGTGAGTGTGAAATACCCCATCTACGAGTATTTCAATATTAGGCGGCAAGAATTTAGGATCTGAAGATGCGAATCTTGTGTGTTAGGTGGATTAACTACACATGGCTCAGTTCTGTTCTTACCTAATAAGTTTGATTATCAGAAGGTTGCAGAAACCATTTTGTAAGTCACATTTTATTGTGTGTGCACATAAATCAAGTACATGTATTTAGTAACTGTAATTGCATTGCACAGATACAACGTCTCTGTTTCACACAGGACAATAATAACCATGTCTAACTGTTTACAAACCAAGATTAGAGCAGTAAGCATGGAGCAATGTCTCTCTCATCTTATAACCTCACAAAAGCCGCACCACACTCGCCTCTATTGTCACTTAATTAGCTGTATGTCACTCTGCTGTGTTCACATCTCCTTATCCTCATTGTTTGTGTCAACTGGCTTTACCTTATCCCAATTATCATTGTTTTTATAACTTCTTTTTGATCTGTCTTCATTGATTGATTGTATATACATGTACATCTCTGGCTTCCTGTAAATCTGGTATATATAATATGTTTTCTACACCTGTCTTTATCACCAGAAGAAGGGACAAGAAGTAGCCCAGAAACGTTGTGTTATACAATAAAGAAGAAGTTGCCATCCATATACACGTCTTATATATTCACCAACTTATAAATGCCTCTCAAGAATCTCACTCATCTTGAAAGTTTTTACTGTTTCGATATCAAGTTTCTTTTTTTTAAATTGAGGTGAATGGGGTTTTAAAATCTCTGATGTTTATTCTGCCTCTCCCTTCAGATACATATAGAAATGTTACGATAAAAATCAGAGCTTAATTTTTTCTAAATACCTGTGTATGGTGGTTGGTGGGTTATGTCAAGTGTAGTCAACAGTCTCCTGTGGTGGATCCTTCTGTCAGTGGACTAGCAGCTATAGCCTGACTGCATGTGTTGCTTCACAACCAAAGAGTACCTGCCTTTAGTCAAACAGCCAATCCTTGCTCAGGTGGCAGAGAATAGGTCAGTTGTTCACAGGTCTGAACTGGAATTCACTTGTAAAGCCTCAGTTCCAACCAGTTTGTAGTCCTTTCAAATTTTATTCAAATGACAATTCAATTTTGATCACAAGTCATTTGTGACTGAGACTACTCCCCATTTGCAATGCAAACGAAAAATGTTCATCAGGTCATATAACACAGTGCCCCTTGGAGACAGCATAGGTACCACTATTTGCAGAGCAGAGCTGGGTCCCTTGTGCGTGAATGACTATTGTGAGTCCTAGGGTTCGGTAGCTCCATACATGCATGCTACACTGAAGATGTGCATATCCCAGATCTGCATCACATTGGGCTTTTGTCCCACTTTAAGCTGACTTACTGTTCCAAGCTATGTAAAACTAAGTTCACTCACTAAATGTTTATGTTTGCACAAATGCCTTCCCTGTTGGATACACTCATTCTTGGTATCACTGGTCACATTAAGTGAGTTTAGTTTTATGCCGCTTTTAGCAATATTCCAGCAAAATCACAGAGGGGCACACCAGAAGTGGGTTTTACGCATTGTACCCATGTGGGGAATCGACCTGGGTCTTTGGTGTGATGAGCGAACACTTTAACCACTAGGCTACCCCACCGCCTCTGGTCACATTAAATCACAAATGTTCCACAAAGGACATTGATAATAAGGGCAATTCATAGAAAGGTAATTGGCAACATTATTTGAAACTATGAAATATGTTACTAACAAACTTTGATTTCAGATAGACAATATCTGTTCCCTGCTGGATGAGTGCAGCCAGTGAAGATGGGTGGTTTCAACACACATTTTGTGGTCGACAGCAACTCTCAGACTGCTGTGGGGGGTTTCAGCCATCCAAACAAACCCAACTGGATCACAGCCCATGCCATTGCAACTGAATGTAAGTAACCATGGTAACAGTTTAATGCTTAAAATATTGCTTTCTTGACTGATAAAGTTGCTCAAAATCCGGATCGTCATGTCCATTGTTCAAAATTGAGCATAGAAGTCAAGGTTTCCTTTTGGCTTCTGGTTACCTGAACTGAAGACATCTTATTGTATTCAGTTCCCTGTGAATAATATAAAAGAAGTCACACACACTAATTGGACAACTTCCATCTCTACGTACTGAATGTCAGGGAATTCCAGTAATTAATACAGTCAAGTTTATTCACTTTCTGCTCACCTGTAACATCATGAAGTTATCAGGCTGTCATTTTACAAAGCGATGTTAGCCCAAAGGTGATCATACTTACTGAGTTTGGTTTTACGCCGCTTTTAGCAATATTCCAGCAACATCACGGCGGGGGACACCAGAAATGGGCTTCACACATTGTACCCATGTGTGGATTCGAACCCGGGTCTTCGGTGATGAGCCAACACTTTAACCACTAGGCTACCCTACCGCCCATAATGGTGATCATAACTCCTATACGTTAACGTAGACCCACATCAGACAACATCATTCAGTTCTAAGAAAAACTTTCTGAATCTGTCAGTTACTGTCGGGTCATCAGAAACAGCTGCCATAACCCTGACCCGATGAAACAGTTGTAGGTCTCCATGGTTACTGCGCTGATTGACAGGTCCCAAGAAGATTGATGAGGATTTCTTTGAGGGCATGTCACATTTTTTGCAAAAATTAAGTATTTGCCAGATTCATGTGATGTATTCCTATGCCAGGAATGTAAATCAATCTCAACATATCTGTAACATAGCAGCAATTCCTGCTTGAAAACAGTACAAGAACCTGTATCAAAATGTCACTCTCATGAAGTAAAGAAGTAGTTATCCATAAAATTTGTACATAAATATTGAACTTCTCAACTTCTAAAATGCCACTCAAAGAAGTGACTATGAATGTGCAAATTCCATGCATCAGTTTGCTCATAGATTTTTCAATTCATACCTCATTGATCCGAAAATATGTAATCCTTATTTGGAAGAATTTGGTGGTCTGCGCAACATTTCAGGGCAGTATATCTATTTCAAATCACAAGTAGAAATGTTAATTAATCTTTTAAACATTTTATTCTCTAGCATTTTCACATATTACACATGTAGCTGCTGTACAGAGTATATGGGTGGTGGGGCAGCCTAGTGAGTAAGGCGTTCGCTCGTCACGCCAAAGACCTGTGTTTGATTCCCTACATGGACACAGTGTGTGAAGCCCATTTCTGGTGTCCCCCACCGTGATATTGCTGGAATATTGCCAAAAGCGACGTAAAACTAAACTCACTCACTGTACAGAGTATAGTTTCTTTATCATAAGTTCAGCAATGTATAGTGTGATTTTATTTGTTATGTATTTTCATCCGTCTGTGATGTGGCTATGACAGTGGTATAGGTGGTCAGACATGGAACACTCACGTGTCATATGGTCTGCTGTACCAGATACATGTCCTTGAATGTAGCAAGATAACCAGGCACACTGTCTGTGTAGAGAAGACAGGTGACCTCATTACATCAGCTGATTGTTCAATCACAACATGGGCTTGTGCTTGCATACTGAACCAGATTCAGGTTGTTTGAGTGTATCCGATGTCCAGCTGCTTTGTACAAAATATCATGTGCAGATGTTACTGAAACAATGTGGGATATCTTCCACCTTTCATTTTGTTTCAAGTAAATATGAAAGGTCTTCATGTCTGATATTTAAATGAACATGATAACAATTTATAAAAACTTCTTTTTCCCATATTGAAATAATTAAATTGATTACCAAATTATATATACTTGGCAATGCAAATATTTTTTGTCAGACAACCAAAATATATTTTGGTTGGTAAATCACACTTCTCATGCCATCAACAAGGGTGATGGGGAACCTAGTGTTTTGGGCTTTCACTTGTCACTGAAGACCTAGGTATGATTTCCCATATGTTTGAAATATATGAAGCCTTTTCTGATATCACTTCCAAGGACATATTCATTAAAGCAGCATTAAGCTTAACTCACCCACCTGAGGCCTCCAGACAGGTGTGGCAAGTTAGAAACAACACAGAACATTCTGATCAGACCACAAATACTGCATTGTCTTGCATAACTGTGTTTGCTGTTTCACATCTCACTCAGCGTTATTCCATCTGTATGATGAAGTCTGTAAACAATTAGTCTGGACCGGAACAATGGCAGAAAAACGATCTCACACCCTCGAGCCATCAACCTGTGGTTTGCCTGACTTTATAAATGCTGACATTGTCATGGGTAGCCCAGTGGTCTAAGTGTTAAAGTCCCCTGTATGGAGTTCTGTCTGTCCCTTAGCTGCCAGGATCTGGTTTTGGTTTGAAACCCATTCTTTGCATCATGATCTTTCTGTTCATGTCTTCACCTTACATTAATCTGAATATTGAATATCCAAAAAACATGTCACTGCCCTTGAATCAGAGATGCCAACCCTTACGCTTTGGGCGTAATTATTACGATTTTGACCATTAAATTACGCCATTACACTTAATCTGTGAAAATTACGCTTTTCTACCCGATTTGCGAAAATCGATAAAGTGGATAAAATTTCACAGGGAATACTTTTCGTAACGCAGTAGTGCAGGGGTTCAGAAATGGCCTTACACCGATGGGAATCGCTTACTCTTAGCGGCTCATTCAAATTAACTTGTAAGGAATTAAAGTATTTTGTGTCACCTGACCAACAATTTTTGATGTATGGAACTGCATAATGATTGGTCACGTGTATTTCTGTCTAGAATCTTTCCTATTCATGTGAATAAACCTTTTTAAAAGTATTTTTTATAAAGTTATCACCTTTCACTATGTAAGTGTTTTAGGTATTACACTTTTTAGGTCCAAATTACACTTTTTGACCTCCAGTATTACACTTAGGCCCAAAATAGGGTTGGCATCTCTGTTGAATTATAGCATGTCAGGTTTCAAAACTTCTTGTAATTTTAGGTAACTTAATAATGGGAAGGTTAAAATAGGTTCCTTGTGCATAAACGGCACTTGTAGAAGTAATATTTTGTTCAGTGAATGCACCTTCTGATTGTTTTTGTTGTATCATGCCAGTGATTTATGTACTTTCAAATGCTCAGGGGTGTTGTAGCCTAGTGGTTAAATTATTATCATATGGTATTTGTATGGCGCCAATATCCAGCTCAGCTGCTCTGCTTTGTTTCTCCCTCGATCATTGGATGTCAGTCTCAATGGGTCATCGTATCTCCACTCCCTGGGGATCATACAACTCTTGTCGTGTCTTTAAAGCATTCACTCATCATGCCAAAGACCACAGTTCAATTCCTCACATGTATACAATGTGGGAAGCCCATTTCTGGTGTCCCCTGTGTCATGATATTGCTGGAATTGTGCTAAAATCGCCATATAACCATACTCACTCACTCACTCACTCACTTACCAGCCAACACACCCACTCGCTCGCTCACTTCACCAGCCAACACACCCACACTCACTCCTCTCACTCACCCACTCACACCAGCCACACACACCCACTCACTCACTCACCAGCCAACACACCCACTCAGCCACTCACACCCACAACACACACTCACTCACTCAGCCAACACACCCACTCACTCACTCACCAGCCAACACTCGCTACTCACTCCTCACTCACTCACTCACCACCAACACACCCACTCACTCACCAGCCAACACACTCCACTCACTCTCAGCCAACACACCCCTCACTCACTCACCAGCCAGCCTCACTCCTCTCTCATCCTACTCACTCACTCACTCACTTGAAAGCTCTTATAACAAAGGACATACCTCGTTGTCAGTAGGCATGCCCAGTGTGCTCTTGAATATATTCTACCCCTGTACGTGCTACATGGCAGCTTTCAAAAGATATCTTGATAATGGGAAGATTAAGATATGTTTTTTGTACCTTTTTAATGTTTTTATTGAAATGCTCAAATCACAACAGACACACCTAGCTGTCAGCAGATATGCCCAGTGTGCACATGGATATATTCTATCCGTGTACATGCCACAGGTGTGTGAAAGCTCAGAGGGTCCGATAGATATGTGTGTCCCTGACTGGGTGTTGACAGATGCACATGCCAGATAGGTGGGCCAGGGGTTCATCCCAGGTACAGGATGTACTTGTGTAACAGTGGGGGAGTGATATCTCACAGATCAGACAACAACGTTAACTGTAAACACTTGATCAACAACAGTCACTTATGTTACCTGTCTTGTTTTTCATTCAGTGATCTGTATCTCAGACAAGGTACAAGGATCAGGGCCCCCCTCAACAAAGATATCTTAGCGCTAAGACGATTGTAACTCCAATACTTTAGAGGCACTATGTCACACCACACTTCTCTAAAACTAATAATTAATAATGCATTTATCTCAATAGTACTAACTATCAGCCCTCAGGGAAGCTACCTCATAATTTATTCCCAAAAGAATTACGTATTAGATTACAATGTTAGATTAAAAAGTAAGAATGAATTAATGCAACATTGAATTAATGCTCTCGCGCCCTCTACCAGCCGAATATTATTTCAAGCGAACCCCACAGAGTTATGTCCCTTGGAGCGCTCTTTACGAATATCCTATGCACAACTTGTGATTGAAACCAGTTCCGAAAACACCAGCAACACCACATGCGACAGTTTTCTCTGTTTGGAAGCTGTTAGCCTCGAGGTTTCAATTATTGATTTCAGATAAGTTGTGAGGGATAATAAGTCTTTTATTGCATCAATAGGAAGCTAAAGTGAGTGCATATGCCCAAATATATATAATATGGGCCAAACTGTGTGACATTATGCCTTTAACCTAAGTTACGCCAGTCCTAGCATTACAATGGCTTTTTGGAATGTCAGTCAGTTCTATTCAGTTGACAATATTTTATTCATTTTTAACACTTTGAGTTGAATGAAAATGTTATGTTTGCATGATACATATTGTTGTTCAGTG